GGCAGTCTCATCTATTAAATATTTATTATATTGTGGGGCGATTTCGGCAACTTTCATTAATAATTCTTTTTTTTAAATAAGTCATGTCCATGGATATGCCTTTGCTTTGCAGCCAATCTATTTTTTGCTGCTTGTTTCAGCTGGTTGTTGGTATTTTTTCGACTCTTACCGAATGATAGGGAGTGTTATCCATGACAACCACACTTCCTGGTTCTAGCTTAGGCATTATATTTATGAACCAATTAAGGAATCTGTCACCATCCATCTCTTCATGATAGTCTTTTGTAGACTTAGATTCAAATACTAGTAGACCATCTTCCACGAATCCTTTGTCGCTGCTAATGTGCAATAAACCTTTTACCTTTTCCTGTCGGAGCTTTTGGACCGGCTGATAAGCCATGTACAAAGGCTTGTCTTTTATTTTTTACCGTTGTATACAACCATGCTTTTGTCTTTACGTGTCCGGCGTTTACGCACGTTTCGTCAAGATAGTAAATGGTTTTATTAGCGGCTCTGTATTATTTTATTTGCCTCAGATATTTACGCCTCTATAAAACAATATCTTCTCTTTCGACTAACAATGTTCTGCTATCCTGTTTATTGAAATCGAAACCAAGCACATGCATTATTTTATGAAGTGTGGTACGTTTGAAAACAGGAATATCTTCGTCAGCTTCGCATAGTGTCATAATTTTGTCCAATGTCGGGTAGTCGTTATTTAAATATATTGAGTGAACTCCTTATTGCACATTTGTCTAGTTCATCTAATTTATCGACCGTCGATAATCGAGCTCTTTTTTTCACGGGTGATTTTAATGTGTTAGTATCCTTTTGTTCTTTAATAATTTTATAAACAGTATTTTCGGACACACCACACGCACTTGCTGTTTTTATTACTGTGCTCTCCACAGTCGCATTTAAATCACACAGTTTAAAGTACTTATAAACATTGTAAATTACGCTTCTCTCTCCGCTATGGATTACTGATCCACTTTTATTCTTTCGAATAGGTGAGGTATTCATTTTCAAAATTTAATGTTGATTGAATTTGTTCGATGGCCTGACTTCAACTGGTCACTGTGAACTCGACTTTCTAATTTCTTGCATTTTAATTGGATGGGGGGGGGGGGCATGGCCAGGCCGGCGGACAACGATGACTCACTATTTTCTTAACGCGAACGGACTATAGACAATCAAATAACCCCCACTACCTGTATACTACATCCCTTCCTTGTTAAAATAAAACAACTGTTAACATTACCTTGACAAGAATTTTAATCAGATTTAAACATTAATTAAATTATGATTCGTACAAATAATAGAAATTATTCTCCATGTTGGTTGCCTTCTGGATCTGTTTCACTTTCTGCACTCTGATCAATAATTTTCCACTCACCATTTTCTACTCTTTTAAGGTGGACAACATTCCTGCGATATTCTTTTCCCGTTGAATCATTCCTTACTCTAATATCCCCATCGTTTACATCTGTTACTGTATGAGTTTCTGGGTTAAAATTAGGAGTTAATTTGTTTTCTTTAGTCATGTTTTTTACATATACCTTTTCTCAGATTTCAAAATAACTATCTACCGCTTTCCTTTCTTCATATCCGCATATTCCTTCCCCTTTTCCTTTTTTTCTTTATCCCTGTCTCTGACATCCAAATCTATAATTTTATGTTCAATGTCTGCTGCCATAGGAATTTTATCTCTAAACTGTCTCCAAAAGAAAAGTTCTGCGGGAGTTTTTCCGGTTGTCGTGTGAGGGGTGCTATTGTACATAATAAGATATTCTAAAAGGTCATCTTTCCACTCTTTTTTTCTAGTTGGCTAATTTTGAGCCGCTTAAGCACGTCTCTATTTTGGCGCTCGACTTCGCCGTTCATCTGTGGCCAATAAGGAATTGTGTTTTACATTACAACGCCGCACTCTTTGCAAAATGCTCTGAAGTTCTCGCTAGTAAACTGGTTACCATTATCACATGTTAATGTTGCAGGGTATCCCAGTCGGGAAAATATTTTTTTGAGTATCTTAATAATTTCTATAGCCGTAATATTCCTCATTATTTTTACCTCCTTGTAGCGACTGTAGTAATCGACTAGGACAAGTAAATAATCAGTTGATGGTAGGGGTCCTAAGAAGTCTATTGCCACGTCAATCCAAAGCTCTACTGGAAGTTCTCGTCTCTTTGTCGGATGGGGAGGGTTGGGAGCTGAAACGTGTGTGCACCCTTTGCAAGCTATCTGAGGCATTTTGGGTGATCTGTAACAATCGTGTTACCAATTAAAATATATTAACAACTAGACCCAAGATCAGAGAACCAAAATTGTCGAACATTATTACTTTTCTCATATTGACCATTGTTAATACCTATTTTGTACGGGCTAGTATATATTATTAACTATTCCAACCAGCAAGGTCTTTTATATTAACCCTTCAACTAAGTACTGTCTTTCTTATTAATCTGTCAACTTAGTACGGTATTTCATATTGACCTTTCAACTTAGTACAGTCTTTCATATTGACCCTTCAACTTAGTACGGTCTTTCATATTGACCCTTCAACTTAGTATGGTCTTTCATATTGACCCTTCAACTTAGTACGGTCTTTCATATTGACCCTTCAACTTAGTACGGTCTTTCATATTGACCCCTCAACTTAGTACTGTCTTTCATATTGACCCTTCAACTTAGTACGGTCTTTCATATTGACCTTTGACAGTATTACTTATCATAGCCTATCTTATTGACTTCCCCAAGCGTAATATCACGAACGTGCGGTGTTTAAAATACTAACCAACAACATTTTCCCTTTTTTTTCCAATCTATTCGTATTAATTAGATTACTTGTTTTAATTAAAGCATATTATGTACATTTTGTATATATATTGATATTGTATATATCCAACGTAATTAATTCACTTCTTATAATAATTAGAATACTGAAATTCAGACTGCCCACTTTCAAGTTTCAACAATATTGTAAAAAAATATTTTATTTTCTGAAACGTAATTATGCAGTTGTATTACAACAATAATTAGTGAGGAGTGCTTTTACTGCCCTACTTTTATGCTCTTTCATTACTATTTTCTTAATAACAATTCTTATAATTCGTATTTTAAATTAATAAGCAATTATAAACTAACGATTGCCGTACTGTGATGCATGTACTGTGGGTACTCGCGTCTCGTTTTATTTCGCTACCTAGTGTAGTACGTTATCAAAGAAATGTATCATGAAATAGTGTAACTAAACCAACCAAAGGTTCTGGCTTATAATAACTAAAATATCAACCTAAAATATCAACGTAACTCGTATATACTCAAAGGTTTCCTATTTCAAAATATTATTATATGTTTGCATTGGATTATGTAGGGTTTTTTTTTTATAGAAGAGGGGGACAAACGAACATGCGGCTCACCTGATGTTAAGTGACTACCGCCGCCCATGATCAACCGCAACACCAGGGGAATTGCAGGTGCGTTGCCGGCTCTTTAGAAAGGAGTAAGCTCTTTTCTTGAAGGTCCCCAGGTGGTATCGGTCCGGAAAAATCGCCGGTGGTAAACTATTCCACAGAGAGGTTGTACGCGGAAGAAAACTCCTTTTGAAACATACTGTGGTGGACCGCCAAGCATCCAGATGGTGTGGATGGTATCGGGACGTATGCCACGTAGTGCGTTCACGAAATTTGGCGGCTGGGATTAATCCGAACAATTCCTCAGAGCACTCTCCTTGGTATATGCGAAATAAAATGCAAAGAGATGCAACATCTCTTCGCAGTGCCAGTGAATCGAGCCGATCGGAAAGCACTCGGTCGTCGACGATTCGAGCCGCTCTGCGCTGGATGCGGTCAAGTGGAAGGAGCTGGTACTGGGGCTGGGGAGCCCCAGCCCAGAGATGGGAACAGTATTCCATGTGCGGCCGAACCTGCGCCTTGTAAAGTTGCAGGCGGTGTGCCGACATGAAATACTGTCCCGCTCTGCGCCAAGCTTTTTAGAGTCCAATTTGGCCTTCTCTTCCAAGTGACCACGAAACTGCACGTCACTCGATATGTCGACGCCGAGGATTCCGATACTGGCTGAGGCAACAAGGGGAGTGCCTTGAAACTGAGGAGATACGACAAAGGGGTTCTTTTAAGCGGTTAACGCGCAAACTTGTGTCTTCTGAGGGTTAAACTGGACTAGATTTAGACGCCCCCAATCCGAGACTCTGTTCAGCAAAGACTCGATTTCAGACACAAGTTTGTCCCAGCACTCGGAGACGTTTTCCCGAGAAATATTGGCTCGGCCGGTGTAAAGAGCATCACCAGTGCTGTCATCTGCATAGCAATGAATGTTACGGGTTTGCAACATATTATTGATATGCAGAAGAAACAGCGTTGGCGATAGCACGCAGCCTTGTGGAACACCAGCATTAATAGGCTTGCAATCGGAGCTTGCACCGTCTACAACGACCTTGATGCTCCGATCTGCAAGAAAGCTGGTGATCCAATCGCACAATTTCTCGGGAAGCCCATAGGAAGGGAGCTTCGAAAGAAGCGCTTTGTGCCAAACCCGATCGAAGGCCTTCGCAATGTCCAAACTAACGGCCAATGCCTATACGGGTATAACGGGTATGCTCTAAAAAACTATACAATCAGTATTTTTACACTTTCGTAATACTATATTTCCTTTTAACGAAAAATGAATTTCAACTTACGTTTATTCTCGTCGCCACTTGTAGAATGCTCGATAACACTGACACTAAGGTATAGTTACACTTAATCACTCCGTTAGTTCAGACACACTGAATACGTCCGCTCGCCACGGCCGTTGACATTACATTTGTTGACATAGATCACTGAATATATACTAGACAATCGAATAACCCCCACTACCTGTATACTACAACAACCTATGTCATTCTATAATTTTTTCTATTTTTTTTATTCTAATATTTTACCCTCTGGAACGTTTTATATCTTTTACAGTCAATCCAACACAGTTTCTGTTGCTATACTTACAGGGTTTAAAACCAAAAGCATGATTTGGAGCGGCCACATTGCCACGCGCGACTTCTTGTTGTCGGAGAAGCAGTCCTGCAGCGTGTCGAACAGCGTGTCGCAGCATTTGCTCAGCTCGTCGTTAGGCCGGCACTGCACTTCCGCAAACTCCTGCAAACGAATATCTTTGTGAATATAAAGAAACAGAAACATTTTTTTTAATCAATATAGATTATAAATAAAAAAATTGAAAATTGTCTGAATTTGAGGGGCGCAGTGGTAGATACAAGGGTTTACCGGGGGTCTAACGTAGGAACGGATCATTATTTGGTTTTATGCCGAATTAATGGTCTATTCAGGCGTTGGCGCCATCGGTCATCTGTGTCTACCACTGCGTTACAGCGTATTAGAACTGAAAGGTTACAAGAGGAAGGTGAGAAAAACAAGTTCAAATGTAGACTGAAAGAAAATATAAGTGGTTTGGATGAATTATGTATGAATGAGTTAGACTTGGAGAATGTATGGCAAAATGTTAAGAAAGATTTAGTGGATGCAGCTACCGAAGTATGTGGTGTTAGTAAGAGAAAGAATGAAAGGAAAAATAATAAGTTATGGTGGGACGATGAGATATGTATGGAAGTTGAAGCAAAGAAGAGAGCATGGCTAGATTTACTAGCAACAAAGGCTGGTAATTCTAGCAGTACGAATGATGATATTGAAAGAAAAAAGGTAGTCTTTAGACATCTAAATAAGAGAGTAAAAAAAGTAGTTGAAAGGAAAAAAGCAAGAACGGATAAGAATGATAGAAGAATATCGGATAACTTCCAGGCAAATATTAAAATGTTCTGGAAACTCGTAAGAACTGCCATGGGACATTCAAAACAGCCTATAATGAATGCTATAAGAGATGAGAATGGCTATATTCTGAATGATGAAGTTTTGAGTTTAAAGAGATGGAAAGAATATTTTGAAAGCGTTTTTATGAGTGAGGAGACAACATATAAAATGAATTAGAAACTCCGAAAGAAGAGGAAAGAGGTAGCGAGATAAGTATAGATGAAATAATGAAAGCAATGAAAGCAGGTAAGGCAGCTGGATATGATAGAGTTTCCCTCGAAATGCTAAGGGCTGGAGAGGAAGTGGTGGCAGGCCTGCTGTACACCTTGTTTAATTTATGCTGGGAACTGAAGCGGGTACCGGTAGAGTGGTGCAAAGCCGTAATAATCCCAGTATATAAAGGAAAAGGGTCGCAGAAGGACTGTAAAAACTACCGTGGTATCAGCCTTCTTAGCATTGTGGGAAAACTGTATGCTAAGGTACTGGTTGAAAGGGTCATGAAAGAAACTGATGAAAAAATTTGGGATGTGCAAGCGGGATTTAAAAAAGGGAATGGGATGTACAGATCAAGTCTTTTCCATGCGCATGATCGCGGAAAAGTTTTTGGCCAAAAACCAAAAGGTTTTTTGTGCGTTCATAGACTTGGAAAAGGCCTATGACAGAGTGGATAGGGATGAGCTATGGCAAACACTGAATTCATTTGGGTTGAACGCTGGCTTGATACAGGCATTGGAGTCGCTTTATAAGGACTCTAGTGCCTGTGTTAGGATCAACGGGGTCTACTCCGACTGGTTTGGCATCCATAAAGGTGTCAGACAGGGCTGTGTAGCTTCCCCGTGGCTGTTCAACCTATTTATGAACAGTTGTTTGCAAAATTTGAAAGTTGAACAATGCGGATTAAGAATGGGTGAGTTAACCGTCAAATGCCTTTTGTACGCCGATGATCAAGTTATTCTTGCGTCGTCGGCGGCCGAGTTGCAAATGATGGTTACATTAATGAACAGATCATTAAAAGAAAGGGGTATGAAAGTGAACGCAAGTAAGACGAAAGTTATGATTTTTGAAAGAGAAGAAAGTAAGACGATATGTGAAATAAGAATAGAAGGGGAGTTGATCGAGCAAGTAGATGAGTTTTGTATATCTGGGTTGCGTATTTAGCAGGGATGGGGGATGTGATAAGGATATAGAACGACGAGTGAATGCAGGAAATAGAATAAATGGGACCCTATTCACTATTGTGAAGAGTCAAAATGTGTCGAAAAAGGCACGTATGGCAATTCACAATGTTGTGTTGGTCCCTACATTAACGAATGAATTATGGTAGTGAAAGTTGGGTGTGGCAGAAGAAGCACGAGATGAACGCAGTATAAATGCGGTCGTTAAGGAGTATATTAGGGCTGAATCTGAATGACAGGGTAAGAAATTGTGTAATAAGAGAAGAGTGTGGTTTGCAAGATGATGTTGTGACCAGGATTAAGAAAGGAATGCTTCGGTGGTTTGGTCATGTGGAAAAAATGACTGAGGAAAGAGTGACAAAGAAAATTTATGTTGCAGAAGTGAATAGTAGAGTCGGAAAGGGACGTCCTAGACGAAAATTTATCGACCGAATTGGCGATTTATTAAATACGGGCCAAATTAGGAGTACCCTTAACCGACGAGCATGTATGCGTAGGTGTATGGATGTGAAGGAGGCGAGAGGTGTGTCAGGATCGTGCCAAATGGAAGTCTGTAGTCTCTGCCTACCCCTCTGGGTGACAGGCGTGAGTGTTTATGAATTAGAAAGATTAACTAGAAATAAAAATTAAAAAACCTACGATATCAAGTAGGAAATTTGTCAAAAAAATAATAAGATATTTTTTTTTGTTAAAAAAACTTTTCTTTTTAATTTTTGGTCTGTAACTTCTAACTTCTCTTTCTAACTGAGTGTTTATGTATTTATGTATGTATTATAAATAATACTAATTGCAAGTCATTTTTTTTAATTTACCACTGGAAAAACTTTCTGTCCTGGGAAGAACCAGCAAGAAACCCAGCGGGACTAAAAAAAACAGCTTACAATCATGTATGTTACAATTAACAATACAACCATGGTACCCCTACACTCCAACACAACAAAATGGATATAGCTTGGTAGTGATCACCTCAATCCCAGGGGTTATTATCATCCATAAATTTCTTAATATTATAATAACCCTTTTTAAACAAACTTAGTTTAATAAAGTTTTTGAACTTTGTACCATTCAAATTTTGTACATTTCTTTTTGTTGTAAAAGCGTATACATTGCCCCAAAAATGAATTACTGACTCGGTGGAGTCGAATAACTGGTACTACTAGTACTATAATATTCTACATATAAAAATATATTTCTCAGAGACAGTAACACTGATAACATCTTTTTTAATTAATTAACAACTGTGCTGTATTCTCCAGTAGGAACTTCGATCACAGCAATTTCATAGTTAAACCTTAACTATATATTAAACATTGGTATTAAAAAAAATTACCTGTGGGTAGGTATCCATCCAGTTCCAAATGGCTTTTTCTAATGAGGTAACTAACACTATGTGCGCTGACTTCCTTAACAACTTAAACTTCTGTATAGATTCTGTAAAACAAAATTGTACTATGCAGAAGTCTTTTGTAAACAAAGGAATAACAATATACGCTCACCGGCACGGAAACATGGCCACTCGTGAATTTGCTGATTATTTAAACTGCAACGTTTTTTTAACAGTAAATTAAGGGTAGATGTATTTAATCAATGCCTCTAATGGTTTTAGAACGTAGATATTTAATGTTGGCTTCAGCAAAATTTTTCTTTTCTAGATAACATGTTTTCACTAAAATTAACATCTTGAATACAACTATTATTTACGGATTTTATCGCGTTTAATTCAACTTTCATTTATTTTTATTATCCCGACGTTTCGGGAGCTTTACATCACCCGTGGTCACGGGGGGACTGAGATGTTTGACGTCCCAATGTCATAGTTAGTCCGGCTACCTTCAGTTTTTGAATATTAATTTTTGGTCCGATTTACGCAAAATGAGCTTATAGTACCATGAAGTCTTGCAGTGGTATCCTTGGGTTTGGGTTTAATTTTGTAAATTATAGGATCCCAAGCAGATGGCAGCATCCATCCATCTTCTCTATTGAAATTTGGATGTTTTTTAATTTCAATAGCCTCGCGTATCATCCTTGGTAGGAATCGGTGTTCTTTTGCGAGGATTTGTGGTTTATCAAATTTAATGTAATGGTGGGGACGATCTTGAACATGTTCGCAGACTGCAGACTCCCCGGAGCGTCGGTGCTTCACGTCAGATATATGTTCCTTCACGCGAGTTTTAATAGATCTTTTTGTTTGACCTATGTAAGAGAGACCACATTCACAATCTAGCTTGTACACGCCTGCATCTTGTAGAGGAATATTGCATTTGATGGATGGTAAAAATTGACTAATCTTCTTCGGCGGCTTGTAGTATGTTTTAATGGACGCTCGCTTCAAGATGTAGCCAATCTTGTCTGTGACTCCTCTAACATACGGTAGTACAGCAGGCGCGCGCTCGACTGTGGCCGGCTTCACTCGTTCACTGTGACGTAGGCGCGGGACCCGAAGCTTGTTGTCTTGCAATACTTGCTTGACATGCTGAAGCTTGGCAGCCAGATGTTTTCTGTCACAGATCCCTCGTGCTCTCTGAAACAAAGATTTACCCACGGTAGCTAACTGTGAAGGATGATGGTGAGATTCACGTACCATAATGTCCCATAGTGACCCAGATCGATTCACCAACTTATAAGCTGGCACAATACTTAGCAAAAATACTATCACCACTGAGAGGATATTACCAGAGCACACACAAAGGATTCATACCATTTTGTGAGTGAGATAAAAGAACTACATCTTGCTAACAATGAAACTATGGTCAGTTTCGATGTTCAGTCACTATTTACATGCCTACCTATTGTTGACTGCATCTCAATTGGAACTAGGAAGCTAGAAGAAAATAACATGCCTCTAGAAGATGCAATATTACTTGAACACTGCCTCACATCTGGCTATCTATTGTGGAAGGAGGAGTTCTACAAGCAAGTAGATGGTGTGGCGATGGGCTTACCTGTGTCTCCCATAGTCGCCAACATATTCATGGACGACTTTGAGGAGAAAGCCCTTCTTACTGCTCCTGTAAATCCAAGGTTCTACAAGCGGTACGTAGACGACACTTTCACAATTTTACCATCTGACAAAGTAACTGCATTTTTAGACCACCTTAACTCCATAAACTCTAAAATACAATTCACAATGGAGTTAGAGGCAAATAATTATTTAGCCTTCCTAGATGTTTTAGTCATCCGAAATCCAGATAACACTATTGGTCACACTGTGTATAGAAAAAAAGACCCATAACAATCGATATCTAAATGGTGAATCTTTGTTTCAGAGAGCACGAGGGATCTGTGACAGAAAACATCTGGCCGCCGAGCTTCAACATGTCAAGCAAGTATTGCAAGACAACAAGCTTCGGGTCCCACGCCTACGTCACAGTGAACGAGTGAAGCCGGCCACAGTCGAGCGCGCGCCTGCTGTACTACCGTAAGTTAGAGGAGTCACAGACAAGATTGGCTACATCTTGAAGCGAGCGTCCATTAAAACATACTACAAGCCGGCGAAGAAGATTAGTCAATTTTTACCATCCATCAAATGCAATATTCCTCTACAAGATGCAGGTGTGTACAAGCTAGATTGTGAATGTGGTCTCTCTTACATAGGTCAAACAAAAAGATCTATTAAAACACGCGTGAAGGAACATATAGCTGACATGAAGCACCGACGCTCCGGGAAGTCTGCAGTCTGCGAACATGTTCAAGATCGTCCCCACCATTACATTAGATTTGATAAACCACAAATCCTCGCAAAAAAACACCGATTCCTACCAAGGATGATACGCGAGGCTATTGAAATTAAAAAACATCCAAAGGAGACAATCAATTTTTGTATGGAGAATGGGCCCACCACAAATTTTCGCGTCACGCAATGAAATGGATGTCGATTTATTCCTTATAATCTATAGTTTACAAAAGTAATATTAGTTTTACCACATCTAGACGGAAAATCGAGAAATTAACAATTAAAATATGAATTTTAAAATAACCTAGAAATAAACTAAAAACTATTTATAGTGGTTTTTACCGGTATTTTAAGTTAAAATAGTGCACTGTTGAATAATAGTTCATATAAAACCAAGTTGTAGGTACATTCAGCATTTTCAGATACTTCAATATTTTTAGTAGTTACGGCAAAATATAGTGCCTGTCTGTGTACAAATGTGGTATGGATACAATTTTTTACATATATTGATTGTGAGTGTACTTCCCAATTACCGTTAAAATAATATAATTAAATTCAAGATGACTAAGGTATAATATATCCATTTATATTTACAATATTACCAACACACGTTATATAGTAAGAAAGATGTTTTAAACTGACTGTGTAAAAAACAAGTTATAATGCAACCGTATTTATAGATAGTAAATCATCATTTCCAACATAGTCTATATAATTCAGACATATAATTCAGATCTATTTATGCAGACAGACAGACAGGCCCGGTGTCAAGACTTTTTTTAATATGCTTTGGTTGATTATTAAATACCTAATTATACATCTTAAAATGACTGGGTTCTAAAATACCAAAATGATTAGGTAATATCATGCTTATCTGTTATTACACACTGATAAATTGTGAGGAAGTAAGATGTTTTGAACTGTTTGTGCCAGGATAACAAACACACAGGTATAGTTTAATTGTATTTATTATTAGCGATCCGCCCCGACTTCGCACAGGTGATTTCTGGATTTCGACAACAGCGCCACCTACCGAGTCCATATGTGAATATGAATCATATAGAGACCCATTCAAACACACATAAACATATCATCAAAATCGCTTGGATGGTTTCTAACGGACATAGGTAGAAACATTTTTCGTGTTTTCATATCAAAAGATCATATTAAAAGATTTTTTCAAAATAACTTGATGGTAACATTTCTATTTATGATACGATATTGATATGTAATAAGTCCCAAAGATCATCTATAATCACTGCATTAATTATGGTTAAAATCGTCAGTGTTTTATGAGTCCTCTTTTAAAAATAACACAGCAGACAGGTGCAGTGCCGGCCCTTTGTTCATTAAAGTATTCATCTATTAGCAAGTATAAATCCCATACATCATTAAAATATAATGTCTCGCCCGTTTACGATATTATTAGAAATCAGAAGGATATGGTCAATTAAAAGAGATAAAAAAGGGTGCCAGAGCAATAAATTCAACTTTGCTCGGCGTTTATTTATAAATTACACATATAACATAATATATAACAGATAATAAAGCACACAGTAAAATAGAAATAGTTCAAATAAGCAACAAAAATTACAATTTTTAGTCATCATTATTCATCATCATTACAACAGTCCACTGCCGAACATATGGCTCCTAAATTAAAGATATAATGTAAAATATTACAGAGGCCTTCCGTGAATTGCCATCACGTTCCGTCCCGTATGGTGTCGTTAAAGTCGACAGAATAAAATAAAAATACCAGGAGATGAGGAGCAGCATCTTCCTATAGAATACCACAAAAAACTTTGGTTGCCACAAGTGAAGCAACTATAGCAAAAATGATCATTTATATTACAATATTAATACGCATTAAGATTAATAATCATCATTCATCATTTTCAATATCATTACTTGAAAGTAATATATCATCTAAAAAAAGATGCAGGTGGTTCAACCTCATCTCGATGCCGTGCCCAAGATAGAAACCAGACAACAGACATGACATGTGCACAGCAGCCAACAGTGCGTCTGCCTACCAAACAGTTGCAACAGTACCCAGTAAGAGCAGCCCTAGTGTTAGCAATTGATGGGTTGGTGTCAACTAGTATATAAGTGTAATAAGTTTTTTTACTAGTGTGCCTTGATTGTATCCTACCTCGCAATAGATAACTATTTGGACCAAAATCATGGACAGATTGCAGGTATACCTCGATTTTATATTCTCCAGAAGCCCTGACATGCTCCCCGTAATAACTACGAGCTTGTTTAATTTGATAAATTCCTAGACTAAACAGAATGAGATCCTGGAATGTCAGTTGAGGAAAATTATCCAGCTCTGGAAGATTACCATTAATGCTGGCAAATCGCACTCTCACTCTATTTAAATTGTGCATTTCTACGTAGGAGGCTAAATTATTTGGAGTGTTTAGTTTGGCTTGAGCAATTGCCAATATCTCTACAGCATGAAAATTATTACGAATCAACGTATGAAATCGATTTATTAATGCAGCTGCAATTTTAAAGTATAGCATGAGATGAGTAGATGCAGTATTAAAATATTCCTGACGAAATAATTTGAAGTCCCGTTTAAATCTCCCATTTACAATTTCAATCACCCACCTGCACAAAGTTACACATCTGGACTTGTTGGCAGCAATGGTTGATAATTGTATTTCACCAGCTTGTTTAGATTCAGGCATGTAAGCCTTATAACCACATTGCTGCAAGAATGGAATTGCATCCCTAAAACCTCTATCAA